GTAATAATCAACGGCAAAACTAAAATAGAATTTTCGCGAAAACTAACAGCTAATTAGATATAATATCAATTAAACCACACGTTTATATAATTAATGTTAAATTACACTCATACCTAGTTCGGATAATGATTGGTTCAATTTATTCAAGAAACTTATGGGGCATCTTTGTTATATTTGGCATAACCAGACAAAGCGAACAAAAAATTTAGATAGAAATTTGGTAACTACTCATTGGTCAAAATTTGTAAAACATTTTTTAACCAAAATGATTTCCTATTGAAGCTATTGTATGAACCAAACTCAACATGTCTAGTCACAAGAAATAATACCAAAGAATTATACAGAAACCTTTGTGGTATAAATTCTAGATACCATATTTAACTCTTATTGTCACATTATATATAATATGGATAAAAATTTAATAGGTCTATAATAGAAATTGTAATTATCATTATGTAATAGGTAAGCAAAAAAAAAGTATAGTACGTACAGTATATCTTAAACGTAGCATACTTTTTGTTAAAATAATTTAATAAAAGGGAAATTCTATTTTCACCCGGGTTAAAGTCACCCGATAGACTATAATAACATTCGCGTAATAATTTTTTTCTCTTTAGCAGTTATGTTAATACTTTATTTGCAAGTAAGTAGTAGTAATAATAAATAGTTAAAATTTAAAATATCGATTTATATCGATATACATCGATCGACCAATCATAATGCAGGATTTTGATAACGTGATCAGAACTTTTAATTTAAGATTTATTATTATTATTTTAATTTTTTAGGAGTTGCAAGTGAAGTTGGAATGTGCTTTATTGATTTAAAAACAAGCGAATGCATATTATCCCAGGTATCATTTATAATAATATAATAAATCAACTAAAAGTAATTATTTAATTTTCATCTATTAAAGATTGCCGATTCTCAGACTTATGTAAAGACTTTACATAAATTGAATATTTATAATCCTGTAGAAGTATGATTAAGCAATGTTGCTTTTTCTTATTCCTTGTGTTATTTTAAAAGCTTGCTAATTTTTTCTTCAAGATCTTGCTGTCAGCGACTGCAGTTGAACCTTCCAAATCAAAACTATGTAAAATCCTTGAAGATAATATGCCAACGGCAACTATTGTACCGATTGGAAGAAAATATTTTAACGATGCTGCTGGTGCGTGATTTTTTCTTTATTATTATTTTATTTAATACTTGGTTCACAATTTAACATTGTATATGTATTTAAGGATTAAATTATATAAGACAAGTAAGTAATTTTTTTTTTTCAGTTAAATTATTCATTAATCGAAACATTCTTTAAATTTAGTATAGTTTGGAAGAAGGTTCAGCTTTAATACTTGGTTTAACTTCTAAGTAAGCTCTTTGTTAAATATATTTTTTTTATAGTTTTATAACGTACTAAAAAAAAAAAAAAATTCAAATAACACTAGATTTTATTGCCTGGCAGCAACAGCAGCAGTATTAAAGTATACTTTTTATTAAATGAATATTGCATATTAATGTAAATCTTTTACGAAATTATATTTATTTTAGATACATTGAAAGTACTCAAAACATTTTCTTTACAAATCATTCCATCCAATTCAAGTATAAAGGATGTGAAGGTAAGCTTTTAAGTTTTAATGAATATTATATAGCAAAATATACAATTAATTATATATTATTATAGGAACGATGATGATTGGTATTTGTTCGGATTAACCTAGTTATTTCTTTCTCTCTGTATGCTGGATAAATAACGCATTTGCGAACGTTTAGATTATGTTACGGCTCGTAATCTTGAGCTGATTTGTAATATCGTTAATCCGCATAGTAATCACTCACTTTACGGTATGCGAAGGAAAAAACAAATATGATAAATTATTTATAATGTCTTATCATTTTTTTTTTATATTCTGAAGGTGTTCTAAACAACACTTTTACACCTATGGGAGGTATGCATTTTCTGACGTTCCGATAACATATATGAAATTTGAAAGTAATAATACTTTATCAATTTGGTCAAAGCCCGTTTATTACGGACAAATATTCTTCAACCATTGAATGGTAGTATCATTTTTACTCTCTGTTGGGAAAAAGTCTTTACACTAAGTTAATATTTTCTTTATAATAAGACATCGACACAATCAATCTGCGTCTGGATTCTGTTGAAGGCATGTTGTAATTTGTTCATTTATAAATCCTTTCGCTTATATTTCATGATAATTTTTTTTTATGTAGAACTTATTCAGAACGAGGTATAATTCTAAATACAAATGAGTGCGTGAGAGTGAAAACCTTGAAACCGAATTAATGATTTACTATGATCGGTTTCCAGGTTTTCACTCTCACGCACTCAAATTATATATATATAGCTTATATAGTATATATTATCTTTACGATATCGTAATCAAATTTATTTTTATTTACTAGGAAACATTCTTCTCAGTTCAAGCAGGAAGGTTTCAAGTTTATAAAATATAAATTAAATAAAAAGTGTTATTCTTAATACAGAGGTTTATAACCTTTTAAAATTTTTAAATATGAAAAATTTTTTAATCGGATTTTTGCATTCACAATAGCTCTCAAACCATTTCAAGATATTGATCATTTAATCACAGCCGTAATGAATCAGTTTTAACACGCGTTTTTATCAATTTTATTTTATGTAAACACGCGTAATTAAATAAAATCTCTTGTTACAATATTATTGCAGCTGATTCAAGTTCCTCAAAAACCATCTGTTAAACACGCAGAACAGAGTATAAATAATGTAATAATGCTTAAACATACATTGAAGTTAATCGAAAAATTGAAAGAGGCGTTGAGTGGATGCAAAAATTCTTTATTGTGCGCAATACATAAGGTAAGATTAATAAACTATAACTACGTGTCACGGAATTCGTAAACGAAATTTTTCGTGATACCCATAGCTTCTTTCGGATCCAAGGCTGCCAGTATTTGAGGAACGTATCAATGAAGTAATAAATGAAGACATTACGTATCAAAAAAGTTCGCTTGGACTAAGAAATCAACGTTGCTATGCTGTTAAGGTGTATATTTATACATCATTCAACTCAAAATTATTATGTATTAAACAGTACTTTTATTCTAGGCGGGGTTCAACGGGTTATTAGATGTTGGTAAGTATAAAAAAAATGTATTGTACAAAATATCTGTTTCATAGTTTAAAATTTTATTGTTAACATATTCTTCAGCTCGACAAACTTACAAAGAAACCGTTAATGACATATACGAAAAGGTGGAACAATATAATAGTAAGTTAATAACGCGAAAACAGGTCAATAAATATTTAAATAATTAATCTTGTGCGAAATATAATTTTTAGAACAATATGATATTCCATTGAAAATACAATTCAGCCCAACAACAGGATTTTATTTATCTACTTCAGCTGATAATTTAGCAGAACGTCAACTCCCTCTTGTGTTTATAAATGTTAGCAAGAAAAAGAAAGCCTTTACTTTTACCACATTAGAATTGGTATTATTTAAATTGTTTAGTTAACGCTACATTATAAATAAATTAATATTCTAATTATAATTTCTCATAATCTTTCAAGATGAAAAAGAATACTAAAATTAATGACTCACTAACTGAAGTTTATTTGATGTCGGACAAGTATGAATTTTATTTAATAATGTTTAATTATTTAATCGACTTTTTAACTTATTATACTTCACAAGAACGATCGAAGATCTGATTTTAGAAATACGTGGTAGCATTGTTGTTCTTTATAAAGCATCCGAATCAATTGCTATGTTGGATATGTTAACATGTTTTGCCCATCAATGCACTGTTTCGAGCTATGGTATAATTTTATTAACGATGTTTGTTAGTTGAATTCATTCATTTAATCGCTTTTAGATACATACATAAATTATTTTTAAATTTATGACAGTTCGTCCTGAATTTACAGATACGTTAGCTATTAAAGATGGAAGACATCCAATGCGTGAATTTCTCTACACTGATCATTTTGTTCCTAATGACACATACGCGAGTGATGCCACGAATTTTCAATTAATAACTGGACCGAATATGAGTGGAAAGAGCACTTATTTGAGACAGATTGCCTTGATGAGTATTATGTCACAGCTTGGATCGTTGTAAACAAATCCATCCTTTTTTTTTTGAGTAATTTATTTGAGTATATAATATCAACATGATATCAATACTATTTTAGTGTTCCCGCGGAATACGCGTCTTTTAGGCTAGTAGATCAAGTAATTGTTAAGGCCAAATAAATTGATTTCAAACAATATTATCTAAATCTAATGAATTTTTATGAAGCTATTTACACGTATATGTAATGATGATAATATTGAATCCAACGCAAGCACTTTTATTGTTGAAATGCGAGAAACTGCTTACATTT